AAAAAAAAAACCTAAATTGTTTTAACTGGTTTTTGGATTTTATTATAACTGCCATTATTAACTCAAGCAATGCAATTTTTTACAGCTACTTCCGGATCTTCAAGTTGAAGATTTTGAAAATTGCTGGAAAGATGGCTATATATTGAGCGCATTAGTGATTGCAGTTGGAGGTCGGGTCGAAGATTTCGGTGATTTTCACGCCGATACACATTCTCAGTGCGTTGAGAACATACAAAAAGGTATTTTTGTAAAATGCGCAAGTTGTCGTACTCAGTATTCAACTTTTAAAAAGTAAACTGCTATTTTTACGTCTAATATAAATTGCTGATACATGGTTTGTACAAACAAAAAAGTTATCAAGTCGAACAGTTCTAATTTTTTTGAGCTATATTTCTTTGATGACGATCAGTTTATATAAAAATTCGGCTTTTCCTTTTCGCTAAACCTTTCAAGAATTTTGTTAAATTTTGTTTGGAAGAACAGAAACCTGGCAATAGAAGAGCGGCAAAAAAAATGACATTTAAAAGGCAGTTGTTATTTCAAAAAAAACCAGAGAAATATATTTGGCTTTATTGTCATTGAGCCCACTCACTTTCAACTATTTTTTTCATCGTCAACGTATCTGAATCTGCTGTATACAGGGTTCCTGCCTTTGTCTGATTTCTCTGCATTAGCTTCAGACTTGTTTACGCACTTCTTGATAACTTTTTAGCGGTCTAATACTACTATTTTATTTCAATCTTTCTGTTGTTTTAACAACGTCGTCTTTTCGTGGGTATGTGTGCTTTCTGATAACGGATACATTTTGCAACCGTATGATGTTAGGTTCAGTTTGCCAAATTCTACTGTTTACTATCCTAGAGGTAGTTGTGCTATTAAAACAGCGCCTAACCAGAAATGTTACTAAAACTTATATATTAGGTAGCCTTTATAACTACCAATTACTTTGTTTTATAATGACTTTTGGTGAAATGACTCGATGTTCTGAAACGAATTACCTCAATAGGCAAATATCCTTTAAAAAAAAAGGGAATTTTCAGGTTGGGTAGTTTTTTTCTTGTTTATAACAGTATGTTCTTTTGACTTTGCTGCCAATTATGCTCTCTAGGCCAGAAAATACTGCCACGAGAAAAGTGGAGCTATTGTGTCGATAGATCGTTGCTAGAGTGCTAACAGATTCAGATGAGTTTGCAGGCACAGTAATGTTAATAGAAAGCGAATATTTTGCTTCTTAACAGCAGAATGTAAAAATTTGTTTTTTAAAAGGTCACCGTTTTTCTTAAGACATATTTTATTACCTATTTTTTTCTGTAAACAAGAAGACTTTTTTTAAAACCAGTTATTAAAAAGGTGGAATTTGCTTTCCATACTGCAATTGGCTGCAGTAGTTTTTTTAGTGATACAGCCATCAGACTGCATTAAAACATCACGCTCGTATTGGTTTTGACTTACACGTGGTCAAAGAAATAGGTAAGTGCGTTACTTAAAGGAAGGTAACTGGGAGTTTTATATACAAAAAGGTATAGGTTTTCAGCAATATTGAGCTAAAAAATTGTTCTCTCAACGACAAAAAGTTATTCCTTTGATGATCTGCTCCCGATCACTGTAGGTATAATCTGATCAGCCTATAATGGAAAAAAAAACTTAGGGCAGGTCTACAATCACTTCACTTTCAACCACTTCTTTGATTTCTTTCGTACAGACAAGTATCTCAGTCCACCTTTCAAATTTATTCAAACACTGTGCAAAGATAATGGGGTCGTATAAAAGCAGCATAAAATCATGAGTAAAACAGGCGAAAATAGTTTTAACATACATATCCCCGTTTTTTACCTGGTTTAGAAAATTGTACTTAACAACTTTTTTGACCATCTCAAACAATGAATCAAAGATTTCAGTGATATGCCGTGATCACATAGGTATTTTTGAGTATAGAAAAGAAGAAAAATTTTAAAATATGAGTACAAAGCATACATTTTGTGAATTTGAACCCTTTACACTTTCCGAATTGCGGTTGAGCTCACTTAAGCACGTACTATAAAGAAGCTTAATAAAACGCCACTTTAAAGAATCAGACCAAACTATAACACTAGACTGCCAGAAGGTTGACAAGAAGTGCACAAACAAATCTGGAACTATCATGGCCGAATATCAGAGTTATGCATAGCATCGATTGCATAGTGTATACATAGTGTAAACGTTTGCAAACTTCATTTACGAAAGTTAACGGTAAAAAAAAAAAAGCTTATTTGGGAGTGGACATTGTCAACTGCAATAACAAAATTTTTTTGGCAACATTTTTTTTGCTGTTGTAAGTAATTAGAACACTTTAGAAAACTTGAAATATTATATAGCCATATACTAAACTGCACTGATGTGTTATCATTCTTGTTTTTTTTAACAAAATACATAATTTTTTTTGTTCTCTATGTTACAGCCCTAAATGCAGCTTATGAAATTGGGATATCTTCGCTGGTTAGCGCTGAAGATCTTGCCGATCCGTCGTCGGATCATTTAGGTAAGTGCATTATTGGATGTATTTAAATTGAAGAATACTATGGTAAAATAGTACCGAAAAGCAGCAGTGGCAACTGTGAAATTTTTTTGGCCTTAAAGGAATAGTATTTTAAAGAAAAATAGTAAAAATTATAAAAATAAACCAACAAAATTCTTACAGTTTCAGAAGATATAATTGTTGAAAGTTCTATGCTAAAAGAATAAGGTTAAGAATAAAAAGGAAAAAAAAACGGAAGAAGAAAATAGAGGCTAAAAGTTGTAGAAATATTCTGAATTTTAGGTATAATGGCGTTGGCTGCAGCCTTAATTTCTTTGATACCTGAAACTAGTCCAACAGTAACACAGTGCTATCA